ATCAGTGAGCAAGTTAGTCAGTCCTGTCTTTCCCCAAACCCCAACTTGGAAGTTCCCAGAATTCAACTTTGGTGTCTTTTTCTTTTGTGAACTTATCAAACATTTGACTCACTTTCTCAGGTGCCCCTCCTAGAATCAGAAGATACCTAGAAAAACAATGGCCCCAAAGACAGGGCTCATCTCCGTCTATCTCCATGCTCCTCTAATCTAGCAATCTTTCACTCTCTAATTAGTTCTCTAATGCCATTAGGTAGATTTTTTTTTTTTAAAGCATTATTCCCAGCTTTTCCACTTCTCCTCAGTGGAAGAGTTGGTTCATAGTACCTTGTCTGCTATTATCAGAATCAGAATTCTGGTCATATGTTTTTGCAGGGTAGATGTAATTAGAAAAGTGATTTCACCTCTAATTCCTATGAATTATTTTGACATTCTAACTTAAGGAAACATTTACATTTAACTTATTTGATTAAAAGTTCTTTAAAAAAGAATACATTATAAGCAATTCTTCCTGAGAAACTATCGATTTTGAAAAAATTCTCTAATTTTAGACCGGATAATTTCAGGATGTCCTTCAGCATTTTAAGCCTAAATCCTTTAAAAAATCCAAGTGAGGGCCAGGTGCAGTGGCTCATGCCTGTAATCCCAGTCTGCAATTGCCTGTAATCACCTTGGGAGGCCAAGGTGGGAGGACAGCTTGAACTCAGGAGTCCAAGACCAGTCTGGGCAACATGGTAAAGCCCCATCTCTACAAAAAAACACAGAAATTAGCCAGCATGGTGGTGTGCGCCTGTTGTCCTATTCGGAAGGCTGAGGCTGGAGGATGACTTGAGTTGGGAGGTCAAGGCTGCAGTGAGCTGAGATCGCACCACTGCACTACAGCCTAGGTGAGAGAGACCTTGTCTTAAAAATAAATAAATAAATAAAAATCCAGTTGAGAAAAATACTGCTTTCTTAAACTCTTGGTCTTTAGCAGTGTCTGGGGTGAAGAGAAAAGGGGATTGCCTGTAATTAAAACTTTCACTGGGACTGACAGGTGTGGCTGGGGAATGCTTCTGGACTGAGGGGCATAAGCTGTCTCAAGAATGTCTCTTCCTTTTTTTTAAATGCCAAACTTTGTGTGAGGTACTAACAGATATCCCAGACTTAACACGTTCAATAAAAATAAAAAACAAATACAAAAAATCCCTGCTCCAACTGCATTCTCCCATCACTGTTAAAGTAACTCCATTCTTTCATTCTTTCAGTTGCTCAGTGCCAAAACATTAAGAGTCTAAATAAAAATGAGTCAAAAGAAAATAATTTTGAGACAGGGTCTTGCTCTGTCACCCAGGCTGGAGTACAGCCAGTAGATCATGGCTTGCTGCAGCCTTGACCTCCCTGGGCTCAGGTGATCCTCCCCTCAGCCTTGTGAGGAGCTGGGACTATAGGTGCATGCCTCCACACCTAATTTGTTGTTGTTGTTGTTCTTTGTAGAGACGGGGTTTCTGTAGAGACGGGGTTTCACCATGCTGCCCAGGCTGGTCTCGAACTCCGGAGCTCGAGCTATCTGCCTGCCTCAGCCTTCGAAGGTGATAAGATCACAGGCATGAGCTATCAAGCTGGGCCTTAAGAGACATTCTTGCCTCTTCTCGTTCTCTGTAGCTCTACATCTAATCCATCAACAAAATCTTCTTGGCACTGCCTTCAATGCTTATCTAGAATCTGATCACATATCACCACCTCTGCTACCTTTATCTAAGCCATTCTCATTTCCTTTCTGGATTAGCTTTAATTCATTAATGCAAATAAAAACTAAAGAAAGCCTAAATAGCTCCTAACTGTTTTCGCAGCTCTCACCCCGGCCCCATATAGTCTATTATAAGTTTTGACTTTTTAAAAACTGACATGTCATATCTTTCCTTACAATCCTATAATAACTTTCAATTCACTTGGGATAAAATTCAAAAGTCCATAAATTGGCTTACAAGTCTATTTCTTTTCTTTTTCTTTTTTTTTTTTCAGGCAGAGTTTCACTCTGTCCCCCAGGCTGGTGTGCAATGGCATTATCTCGTCTCACTGCAACCTCCACCTCCTGGTTCTACCTCCTGATTCTCTTGCCTCAGCCTCCTGAGTAGCTGGGACTACAGACGTGCACCACCATGCCTGACTTATTTTTGTATTTTTAGTAGAGACAGGATTTCACCACATTGGCCAGGCTGATCTCAAACTCCTGACCTCCAGTGATCTGTTCACCTCGGCCTCCCAAAGTGCTGCGATTATAGGTGTGAGCCACCATGCCCAGCCTGCTTACAAGTCTTATTTCTACAGGCCCTCTCCCCTGTCTCTCTGACCTCATTTCCTACTACTGTCTCACTGGTCTTGCTGTTTCTCCAATGTCAGCACCTTTGCAATGGCTGTACTCCCTTTCTGAGATGATGTTCTTAGGTAAAAAGGAAAAATATTTTATTTTCCCTTTGCTCATAGCATAGTCTGATATGTGCCTTCTTAGGTTACACTGTAGTTTATGTAGTATAATCAGTTTGCATCACCAGACCCTGAAAAGTCAGGTATTATTTCTGAGGTTGAGGTTTTCTCAATCTTATGTTGGAGATTCATCTCACTCCAGGCTGCTAGCAGATGAGAATATGCCTGCCTGGTTTAGTTGTCAGTTGCTCTCAGAAATTCATGCAAGGCCGGGCGCGGTGGCTCAAGCCTGTAATCCCAGCACTTTGGGAGGCCGAGACGGGCGGATCACGAGGTCAGGAGATCGAGACCATCCTGGCTAACACGGTGAAACCCCGTCTCTACTAAAAATACAAAAAACTAGCCGGGCGAGGTGGCGGGCGCCTGTAGTCCCAGCTACTCCAGAGGCTGAGGCAGGAGAATGGCGTAAACCCGGGAGGCGGAGCTTGCAGTGAGCTGAGATCCGGCCACTGCACTCCAGCCTGGGCGACAGAGCCAGACTCCGTCTCAAAAAAAAAAAACAAAAAAAAAAAAAAAACAAAAAAAGAAATTCATGCAGAAAAGGGGCTATCATGATCAGGCTAAGCTGCCAGACAGGTCTCTTAGTTCACAAAGAACAGAAACCATTACTTGCTAGTGATATTGACACTGTGCATACTTGTGACCCAGCAGTTTGACTCCTGGGTATGTTCTCCAGAAAAACACTCCCAAAAGTGTTCAGAGCAAGACTATTTATTATAAAGAGTTGTTTAAAATAACCTTCATTAGAGGAATGAATCAATGACTAAGCATTGCACAGCAGTTAAGGGGGTGAACTAGACTTTCATATATTGACATGAATAAACCTCTAAAAGCAGAATGGCATAAAATGAGACATATTAACACAAGACCAGTTTTGTAAATCAAATATTTAAGGATGGGAGAAACACGACTGGGATGAAAGTAAAGGAGAAAAAGTGTGTAAGAATGACAGCAAGGCCTCACACAGACCAATGATTATGATGTGCCATGAAGTGAGTTCATAATCAGTCCACACTGAGTACCCGAAGTTATTCATTGATCAGGTCTGGGAAGAGGGTAGAATCCTATGGCAAACATAATTAGAGGCCCTTCTGTAGGCTGGATTAAGACCAACCCATAAACAGAACCCTTGGAGTAGTCATTCAACAAGCATGTTTTGAGGGCCTTTTCTGTATCAGTCATTATTCTGTATATTAGAGACACAAAGATGAACAAGGCAGTAAGGTCTGTTGTTCATCATACTGCAGGTTCATACAGTCTATGCACATTTCTACACCTTTTTTTAAAACAAAGGAATAGGAAATTTTGGGAAATGATTTGCCAAAACACACATCTTTATTTGCAGTATTTCTGAGACTAACATCATAAAAAATCAAAGGGAGTAAGTCTGGAAGAAGTGATACACTTATTGGGTCCCAGGAATAAATGTCAAAATCATTCTTAGAAAAATTTTAGTGAGCATTATGAATTCCAAACAAACAACAATATAGTCAATAATGTTTGGATTATCCAGGTTATAGTTACGTGATTAGTTATAAAGACTTACCCTCTACTCTCTACCTCTACTACAGAAAACAAAAAGTTAATAGTATCAAAGACAGTTAAATATCCATAGAGACTGGCCACAGATTAATTCCTCAACTCTGCCCATGAAGTGACATGCCAATCTTCTTCTAATAACAATTGTCTTTAATTCCATAAAATAATGTCAAAGTGATAATATGCATTTGGTCTATTTTTTTTTACTGTCACCACTTCTATTTAATGGTCTTTTCCTTAATCATGACAGATGATGTTGAAAAATTACTATCTCTCTACCACGTATTTGATTATTGAGGTCCATTTTTGTTGTGTATCCTTTGTTGCTTATTAAAGGATGAGTTCATCAAAATGTTTTCTTCCATTTGTCCAAGTCATAAAGCTTCTATCTAGTGTGGACTCTGATGCTGGATAAGATCTGAAATTTGACTGAAGGTTTTCCCACATAATTTACAAAGAGCTTTTCCCCCTATGGGAATCTTGATGCCCTTTAAGCAACGAGCTAACACTGTTAGCTTCCCTATGGTCATATGCATACAGTTTTGTTCCAGTGTGGATTTTGACGTATACGATTGAGCTATTTTACATTTTTACATTTATAAATTTTCACTTCAGCATGGGTATTCTGATGATTGAAAAGTGCTAGCTTCCAAATAAAGGCCTTCCCTCATACACTACATTCATAATGGTGCTGCTCTCCAGTGTGGATTCTCTGGTGGGTGACCAGAGCTGAACCACAATGAACCTTTTACTATCTTCTTCAGACCAATAGGGTTTTTCTGCAGTGCAGATTCTCTGATGTTTAATAAGGCTGTCACAGCACTTTGAGGCTTTGCTACACCCACGAATATAGATAAGGCTCTTGTCCAAAATGAATTTATTTATGTTCAATAATACTGAGCTCACACAGAAGGCCTTCCACACTGAAGATATCCGTAAGAGCTCTCTGATGTCTGACAAGACACTGACAAGATCCAGTGTCTTAAGATTTTGCCACATTCTTTACTCTCATGCAAGCCCTCTCCAGGAGAGCTTCTCTGTTGTTTCATGGAACTTGGATTTACACTGAAGGTCTTTCCATGTTGAGGATAAACATAGGGCTTTCCTCCAGTTTGGACATGCTGGTGTTCAAGTCAGGGCTGCTGGTGTATTAAGGCTTTTTTAAATAGGGAGGGATATTTTCAGAAAAATGACTTTCCCACTAACTTTACATTGAGAGCCTGCTTGTTTTATTACAGTTGCTGAGGTTGAAAATCATGTGCAAACTGAAAGGAGGGTTTCCCACTCTCAGAGCATTGGCAGGACTGAATTTCAGAGCAAATTCTCCCAGGTGTCTCAGGTTCCTTTATCAGTGATACTCTCCTTAGCTTTAGGCAATGTCTGTTGTGCTTCTTCAAAGGGGATCTCCCCTCACTTGGGAAAACTATTCAGAAGCCCATGAACTTGTTCAGTGTTGGGTCCCTAATGTTTCTATTTAGTCCCCTGGGCATCACTCTGTGTTGGACTTCCTCTGGAAAAGTCTTGCTTTGAAACAGACTCCTGTTTAAGGCCAGGAGTCACCATCTGAAAGAACAGGTTGATTATGCAATTAGCACCTTTTTCCTGGAGACAGAAAGGGGAATTCTAATGTAACATATATGAGTAGCCTACAGAGAGAACCTACCTAAAACACACTCTTTATATATGAAGGCTCTAAGTAAGGATATATGTTTGCTTTTTCATTGATTTCTGCTCTTATCTTTAGTACTTTCTTCCTTCAGCTTTCTTTGGGTTTATTTTCCTGTTCTGAAACAGTAGGTCTCAATAAATGGTAGACAGTAGTAGTAGTAGTAGTATCGTTAAAGCAAAACAGGAGAAGTAAAATAGAAGCAAGAGGATTGGGGAGATTCAATACTGATACAAGATCTACTATGAAGATAATAACATAGAAAGCAGAAGATGAAAGAGGTCATCATATCAACATCAATAAAGTATTTTACTATGTACTTGGAGAAAGGATAAGAAATTCAAAGCTGATGGTATCAGAGAATATCTGGTCTGTTTACCTCATTTTTAAGGATACAGAAATTGAGGCCCAGGTATGGGGCATGAGCCTAGGTAATACGGTTACTCAGAGGTAATGACTGGATGAGACCAAGGGCTCCTGAATCTCAATCTCACTTTTAGAGTTTTTACTAGCACACCTCATGACTCTTTAAAGCCCAACATGGTACATAGACATAAACCTTCAGATTAAAACTCTCATAATACAGCACTGTGGTTAAGAGAAAAGATTGTGAAGTCAGACTTCTGGTTTCAATTCCTGGCTCTACTGTTTCCTAATGGACAGGTTATTCAATGTCTCTGTTCTTCAACTTCTTCAGCTGTAAAATGGGAATACAGAAGTATCTGTCTCATAGCATTGTTATTCATTGAGAAAAATATATATATATAGGCATTCAGGAAAAGCCCTGGTATAGAAAGCATACCATAAATATTGGCTATCAGGGTAGATACGCTATCTCAATAATAGATTATTGTTATTACACACTGAATTCTTTGTAAGGATTATTTTCCCCACCCCACAGATACTAGGCTTGGTAATTTGAGTTTTAGCTAATGAAGTGGAAGTGACATATGCTCCTCCAGAGTAGCTAATTTAAATCCATCACATAGTCCTACAACTGTTTTTTCTATTGCTGTAAGAGCAGCACATTCAAGGTAGGACTGCTCCTCTAGCCTGGATCCTAGAATAGAGAGAATGTATTGCACAGCTGCAACTGACCCACAACTGATGTGCAGTAAGAATAAACCTTTGTTATTGCAAGCCACTGAGATTTGGGAGGTTGTTGGTTACATGACAAAAAGCTAATTAATCCTAATCAGCGCAAGATGACTTGTACAATCTCAAGCCATACCAAGGGCTGCAAAGAATCCATAAAGAATAATAATAATCCCTGCAGTCAAAAAACTCACAATCAAAGGAGCAGGACAAGAGAGAGATACAAAGTAAAATAGGGCTGGGTGCGGTGGTTCACGTCTGTAATCCTAGCACTTTGGCAGACCATGGCAGGTGGATTAGCTGAGCTCAGGAGTTTGAGACCAGCCCGGGCAACATGGTGAAACTCCATCTCTACTGAAACTACAAAAATGAGCTGGGCAAGGTGGCGTATACCTATAGTCCCAGCTACTGAGGAGGCTGAGGCATGAGAATCGCTTGAAACTGGGAATTGGAAGTTGCCTTGAGTTGACATTGTGCCACTGCATCCCAGGCTAAGCAACAGAGTGAGAAACCGGCTCAAAACAAAAAAACAAACAAAGCAAAAGAGAAGATGAATGTTCTAAGAAAGAAACAATGTGCTATGGGAGGTGAAAGAAGGGGAAGATTGGAAGTAGTTACAGAAATGCAAATATGTTTGTTTAGAAATCAGACATCAATAGAGCTCAACCTAAAATGTTTTAATGAACTGTGCAACTTGTTCTAAACATCTTCCAGGTTGAAGCTTTCCTACTTTTTGATAAAGAAGTTTAGAATCCCAACTAAGCACCCAAACTGTGATGTAGAAGATTCAGAGTTTTTCATGAGGAACAAATTGTCTTTACTTAGAAATTCGTCTACTACTCATGCTCATGCTGAAGTGGGTTGGCTTTATAGCTGGGCAAGAATAAAGTTTAGCTATCTATTCACACATCCATCCCCTAAACCATCACAAAAAGAATCTGAGGTAGCTATAAAGAATATGTGATCACAGATACTTGTCACAGAATTCAATCATGAATCTTAAGCCAATACTTGCTTAATGTATGTGAAATCTGAGAGACACTACTTGATAATCATTTAACTTTCCATCCATTTAGATTCTTGAAGTCGAACCCTTTTGATTATCAAAATCAAGATTATATAAAGCAAATCCCTGAACATACTCTTAGCATCATGTAGAAATGCTTCACTAAGTTAGAAATTTCATGGGGGAATGAACTAAAACTATATTCAATAGCTTGGATCCATCTCACAATGTCAAAAGAAACAAGTCAGCCACAAAGGAGTTACGTGGTATACACAAAGTTCAAAAACAGGCATAATTCATCATGGTGTTACAAGGAATCATGGGGATAAAGGTTTCTGGAAGGCTGAAAATATTATTTCTTGACATGGGTGTGGGCTACACAAGTGTGTTCACTTAGTTTAAGTGATAAAATTGTATGCTTATGATTTGTATATTGTAGGTGTGTTGTAATTTAATAGAAGTTAACACAAGATTTTGTGGGATTGTTTTAGGGTTCACTATGACCCATTTTTTCTTTTTAAAACTATAGTTGAAGACAATATCTATTATTTAATATATTTTACACAGGGATTCAAGCAATATGTTTATTTGAATTTAGTTCCAGGAAAAAGTTCATCTCTGCAGTCAAAGAGAGTTGCTTTCTTTTGTTAGGCAAATAAAAAACAATATAAAACAACCTATTTTCCCTTTTGCTAATTGCCAGAAAACTTCAACTTCAGTGCTCAAGTGCATTAATCAATTATTTCTGAGAAGAGAAAAATTTATCATCTGCAGTAGGTTGAGTGGTGGCCCCCAAAAAGTTATGTCTATGTCCTAACCCCTGGAATCTGTGAATGTGACCTTATTTGAAAAAAGGGTCTTGGCAGATAATTACTAAGTTTATGATCTCAAGAAAAGATCAGCCTGGAATATCCAGGTGGCCCTAAATCCAGTGACAAGGATCCCTATAAGAGATAGGAAAGGAGAAGACAGAGAGTAGACAAAAGCTGTGTGAATACAAAGGCTGAGATTTGAGTGATGTGGCTACAAGCCTAGGATTCCTAGAATCTGGAAGAGGCCAGGAAGTACCCTAGAGCTTTCAGATGGAGTGCAGCCCTGCCAACAACTTAATTTGGACTTTTGGCCTCCAGAGCAGTGTGAAAATAAATTTCTGTTGTTTCACGCCACCAAGTTTGTGGTAATCTACTATGGCAACCCTATGAAACTAATACCATCTGAAGAGTTCAAACAAGGTGACACTCTGCCTTTGTTTTAGCTCTCATCAACAAGTTTCCTTTTGGGGCATAACTAGTGCCCCGTTTTGGGGGTAATTTTTGTTTAAAATGGTACCCAAATATAGTGGTGAAGTGCTGTCTAGTGTTCCTAAGTGCAACAAGACTGTCATGTGCCTTACAGAGAAAATAGGTGTGTTAGATAAGCTTCATTCATGCATGAGTGATAGTGCTATTGGCTATAAATACAATGTTAATGATTCAACAATTCAGTACATCCAGAAAAAGGAAGAGAAAATTTGGTCATCTGTACATGAGGTCACTAGGGAAAGTGCTAAAAAGTCAAATCTACAGTGTGGGATGAAGCTAAGAAAAAGCCAGGCGTGGTGGCGCATGCCTGTAATCCCAGCTACTCAGGAGGTTGAGGCAGGAGAATCACTTGAACCAGGGAGGCGAAGGTTGCGGTGAGCCAATATTGCGCCATTGCACTCTAGCCTGGGCAACAAGACTGAAACTCCATCTCAAAAAAAAAAAAGAAAAAAAAATTGAGAATTCATGAGATGACAACTAATTAAAGAAAAAAACCAAGAACATGTGAAACCCATCTAAGTTAGTGCTGGCTGTCTCCCATACTGTGGAAAATGTTAAAAGTGTGTGTGTGGAAAATGTTAAAGTTTCAGGCAAGACAGGTTCTAAAGATCAGAAGGCTATGGAATATTTTTTAAACACCTGTGTAGTATTATACAGAAAAGGGTTATGTGGAAGAGCTGCTTTCCTTATTTATTTTTATTTTTTATTTTTAGAGACAGGGTCTTGTTATGTTGCCTAGGGTGGTCTCAAACTTCTGGGCTTGTGATCCTCCTGCCTTGTCCTCCCAATGTGCTGGAATTGCAGGTGTAAGCCACCTACCTGCTCAGCCAAGGAAGAGCTGCTTTCAAACCCTGATGGGACTGGTTTATTTTACAAGGATGTTGGCGAACAAATGTTTACAATGCAAATGACATATGGATTGATGAAAATATTATGAGTACAGGCTCACAGGAATTTAACCCCCCATTAACTCTAGGAACAACAGTTCAGTACTCATTAATTCAGTGTTTGTGGTAACATTGTAGGACGCAACTAACGGTAAGTAATGTGAACTGACTGTATATCGTCGTTCCTCGGTATCTGTTGGGGACTGGTTCCAGGACACCTCAGCATGCAGAAGTCCCTTATATAAAACAACATGGTATTTACATATAACTATACACACATCCTCCTATATACTTTTAAATCATCTCAAGGTTACTGATCATACCTAATTTAATGAAAAGGCTATGTAAATAGTTGCTATACTATATTTTTAAAATGTTCTATTATTTTAGAAATCAGCTACCAGTGGAGCTCAACCTAAAATATTTTAATGAACTGTGCAACCACCAAGTAAGACTTGTTCTGAAGTCTTGTTTTTGTGCAGGTTAAACAGAGTCAAGAAAATGTGAAACCCTTCTCAGCTAGTGCTGGCTAGCTCGCATATAGGTAGTGAGAAAAATGTTAAATTTTTACGCAAGGCAGGTTGTGAAGATCAGGATCAAGATAACTATTTATTTATTTAATTATTATTATTTCTGAATACTGACAATACACAGTTGAATCCATGGATGTGGAACCTGTGGACGGGAAGAGCCAATTTCTAAGGGTAACAAATGGGAAAATGATTTCGTTTGAGTCTAAGAGGTTGGCAGCCTTCTATTTCTCTTCTGCTGAGTGTATCCAAGGAAGTGAATGGTTAGCAAAGGCTTGGAATATCCAGGTTTCAAAAATGTTGGAGGTATGAGAGAAGGGTAATCTCAAGATGAGTCACTGGAGAAAGGAACCTACAGGTGAGGTCACAGCAGGCCTTCCAGACAAAGATGCCAACTATTACCACTTCTTTTTTATCATGGTAGTAGAGGTCATACTAATGTAATAAGGGGGAAAAAATGTATAAAGATTTGAAAGGAAGAAATACAACTGTCATTATTTGCAAATGGTATATGTAAAGACCAAAAATATCTATATGTTGTTAGAATGCTGGCTACAAAGTCAATATATAAAAATCAATGCTAAGTCTCTGTAAACAGAAAGTAAATTTTAAAAAATGACACTACTAACAATTACATGGAAGCAATGTCAAATGTCTAGAGATGAATCTAATACAGATTATTAAGACCAACACAGAAAACCATAAAATATTATTGGGAAAAATTAAGACCCTAAAGAAATGGAATGCTATACCATGTTCATGAATTAGAAAATTCATGAAAGAATGTTGATTCTCCCCATTAATCTACAGATTCAATACACTCTCAATCAAAATCTCAATAATTTTTTAGAAGGGAGTGGGTCAAATTTGACAGCTGATTCTAAAATTTATATGTAAATGCAAAGAACCAGGAACAGCCAAGACACTTATGAAGCAGGAGAAGAAGGTGGTGTTAAGAACTAAGCTGATGCAGAAAGAACTGAGCTGTCAGGTGTTGTGGTGGTCAGTTAAAACATGCCAAAACAATAAGGTATCAGTCAAGCCTTCGATCAGCAGTAGCATTAGCAAGAGGCTCAGCAGGAAAAAGTGCTGGCTCCTGCAGTGTCACATTCTTACCCATGGAACAGAGTCAAGCAAGTGTCAAAAGAATCAGCCAAGTATGGGGATCATCTCACTACTAAGACAAACCTGAATAAAAGGCTCCATCCATTTAATGGGCCTAAGGACTGGTAGGAGAAAAAGTGAAAATTGCTAGGAGTGGAACAGTACTAAATATTGAAAGTGAAGACAAGTGGCATCAAGGTTCCTGATCCCAGTAAAAAGGTCTCAGAATTGTTTAGAGGAGGCCACCAATAAACAGACCTCCAAACAGAGGTGCTTGGTATGCAGATATGCCTAACAGCATGGCTGGGCTGGGGGTCTGGGTCCTTGACTGCAACTTTCTTCAGAGACTGCAATGCATTGGCTGTGCCCCAAGTCTGGCATGGGAAGCATAGCTTTCCTTCATGAGGTGTACGGACTTCATGAGGTGAACTGCCTATGGTTGGGTCTGAAAAATGACACATAAAATTTGGCACGGAGTCTGACTCTTCAAGTAGGATGATTTGCTCCACTGGATACCAGAACGATGTAAAGCTACAATAATTAGGAAAATCTCATATTGATGCAGGGAGAGCCAAATAAAGCAATGGAACGTAACAGAGAAACTAGAAACAGATCCATGCATTTTTGGAAAATTAATTAATGACAAATTGGCACTGTAGAACAGTGGGAAATAACAGGCATTCCCATAAGTGATGAAGGATGAAAAGAATATCCATATGGGAAAAGAATGAAATTAGACTTTACCTCATTCAGGCAGAAAAATAAATTTCAAATGGATTACAGATACAAATGAGAAAGCAAATTAGAAAACTTTTTAGAATGGTCGAGATTATCTTCATGATCTTAAGGGAGAGAAAGAATTATTCAAAAGACACAAGACACACACGAAAGAAAAAGATTGATAAATTTGACTATATTAAAATTAAAAACTTATATTCATCAAAAGACACCATTAAGAGAATAAAAGGCAAGCTATAAAGATGGAGATAATATTTGCATCCTCTATGAAAAGAGCTCATATCCAGAATATTTAAATAATTCCTATAAACATGTAAAAAAATTGAACAGAACTTTCCAAAAGAATACCAGACAGTAATAAGTAAGCGAGGAAGCTAACCTACTCTTAGTCCAAGAGATGTCACCTCATCTTTCAAGGTTACTAGCTTCATGACAATAAAAAGTGGCCTGAGTAAGAGCTGCTATGCCCTTGCAATGTTGGCACACCCAACAAGACATGTAGGAGTGCAAGGCCCAAGGAGGATGGTCCCTCCCAAAAATGGTACACTGAGTTACAACATAAAATGGGTTTTTTACTGCACAAAATGTTGAAACACTGGTCTAAAGAATATGCTTCACACTTCTTAGCAGAACAAAGAATGTCATGGTCTGGTCATAATATACTACTTTCATATGCATATTCTATGATTCTCGAAATATAATCAAGGTTCATGAAAACTTCTTCTTTACCCCCAGATGCATTGTGCTTTTTCACATGCTATTCTCACTGTACCTTCCCTCATTCTTCTTTATCATATGGCTCAAGAACTCATTTTTTTTCCTCTAAACTTTCGTCCTCCTCCAAAGCCTTTCCAATTGTTTTCGTGAGTCATTGTTAAACCTTCTTCAGTGCAAAGTACTCTACAAATCCAGCAGCTTTATCACAGTATTCGTTGTTTTCTATCTACTCTCTTCTCCCTGTCACCAAATAGCCTGCGAGTCCCCTGAGATTAGGGTGCTTTTTTTCACTTATTTTTGTATTCCTAGCACCTGGCACAAGACCTAGCACCTGGCACACTAAAACAAATAATCACTAGTACCTTACTTTGAGCTCAAAAGGAATAACCACACTACACATATCCTGACTGCTTAATGGTTAAATTCTTCAACAAAATAAATTTATTTTCAGAAATAGCTCCTCCTTCGAAGTCTTCAGAATACCACTCACTGCTTAGTATTTATAGTTGTGCTGGTTTGGAGTGGGATATGGCATCACATTCAGTGCTGATCCCAAAAGGGTGTCCTCCACCCAGATGACTCTGTCTGTAAACCTCCATTCTAGAAACAAACCAAGATAGCTGGGGTTAGAAAGGTAAACACTAAAAACATTGAAAATAACAGCACAGAAATGGGGTGACAGGTCAAATAAAGGAAAACCTAGTCTCCTTCAATTGCCAAAGACAGGAAGAAGCAGGGCAAAAGAATTCACACATGAAGTCAGCAAAGCAAAGAGAACTTCTTGAAGCCCTTCACTTCTGCTATAAGTACAGTATGTGTTTTACCTTCTCTAACGTGCCCCATTCCCTGAGTAAGGTCCATTTCCTCAATGTGAGCTCCAGAACCATGATCTTCTTTGCCTTCAATCCCCATATCCAGGCCTTGGGCAGGGCTGTAGGCACTACTCCAATACCAGAGGCTTCATCATGTGCTTTTCCACATGCATCTCTGACCTTAGTGCCTTCTGGTCACAAGTTGGCTCAGAGCTTCATGAGGTCCAGTGTGTTTTACAGCTGACTTGCCTGAAGTGCTGATTAGGAGAATTCATGGAAACTGTGCATCCCTTTGCAACACAGAGCCTCTTTCTGAGAAGTGAACAACATTTCACCTTCCCAGAGAGCATTCTCTATAATCTATTCCAAATGTGAACCACCAAAGCTATCTGTAATTTCTATCAATTTGGCATATTCATGTTGAACCTCACATTAATTAAATTTCAGGGATAAAAAATTTCAGGACTATTACTCAGGAGGGAGAAATCACTGTTAAAATAGAAAAACAGCCTAACCCGGTGGCTTATGCCTGTAATTCCAGCACTTAGGTAGGATAAGGCGGGAGGATCGCTTGAGCAGGGGAAGTGGAGACCAGCCTGGGTAACATAGTAAGACCTTGTCTCTCCAAAAAATAAGAAATTAGCAGGCATGGTGGTGCAAACCTGTAGAACCAGCTATTTGGGAGGCTGAGATGGGAGGATCACTTGAGCCCAGGAAGCTGAAGCGGCAGTGAGGTGGGATCACACTACTGTACTCCAGCCTGGATGATACAGCAAGATCCTGCTTCAAAAGGAAAAAAAAAAAAAAAAAAAAAAAAAAAAAAAAAAAAAAAAAAAAAAAAGAAAGAAAAATAGTAACAAAGTAATTTTAAAGTCCAGATTTCTCTCCTGAGTTTCACATGTGCAAATACAGGCTTTGGAGATTAGGGTTAGGAAGTGAGATCATGGTCTGGTGGACAGCTCTAGTGGGATTCCCATAGACAAAGCAAAAACATTTTCAAAATCAAACTCACCTCTCAAATCTGAGTATTCTTGGTTGACATTAGGTATCAAGCTTCACATAGTCATCCTAAAACCAACACCAACCTCGAAAATTCCCCAAATGTCCCATTATTATACCTCTGAGCCTTTGCATATACAACACCACACACAGCAGTGAGCTATGATCAGCTATGAGCAAGGGTCAGAAGTCAGAAATACTTAAATCTCCTCGGGAAGTTTTTGTCTTTGTTTTGTTTGCATTGGTTGAGGAACCTCAGTCAAACTCAAAAGCTTATTGAGTCAGTAAGTCAAAAAAGGTTTAAGGCTTTTTGACTATGCAAGAATCTCCCTGAAAAATTATCTGTTGGGTTTCCTACCTAAAAAGATGCTCTACCTTCTGCCAAGAAGTCACAAACACATCTAATCATCCTAAGAGCACAGTGGTACATCAAAGGCAAAGAAAGATAAATGGGTTGGTATTTTCCAGATTCAACTAAGGATATGTCCTTCCTCTCTCACCAATTGCTTCCAATGTCAAAATCTAATGTTTTATCTATAACACCAACAGCAACAAAACAACAACAAAAGGCTTGCTCATAAGAGGAAAATGTTTGAATTGCTAGTTTGCTCTAAGCCAACATAAACTACATTATATACTATATGGTTTTTAAATGGCTTTACCTTATGAGTTGCAAAATTACATTCTCAGAAGTAGATGTGATTTTAGAGCCTTAGAAACAATGCTGATGGAGTTACTTTTCAGTGATTTCTCACTTCAGTATTTCAAGGATGAAGTGTCAATTAAGGGATTAACTTTAACCATACTCTTCTTTCGATGGTATCTTCTGATGTAACAAAAGCCCTTGGGAATATATTTGCCACATAAATCACTGATGACACTTTCCTTTGGCATGTATTTTCTGGTGTTTAGTAAGATTAGAACTCCCACGGAAAGCTTTCCCACACTCTTCACACTCATATGGTTTCTCTCCAGTATGGATTCTCTGGTGATGAATAAGGGTTGAGATCTGGCTGAACGCTTTTCCACACTCTCCACACTCATAGGGCTTTTCTCCAGAGTGAATCCTCTGGTGATTAATAAGTGCTGAGTTCACATAGAAGGCCTTCCCACATTCCTTACACTCATACGGCTTTTCTCCTGTATGGATTCTCTGATGCTTGATGAGGGCTGAGCTCACACTGAAAGCTTTTCCACACTCATCACACTCATAAGGTTTCTCACCAGTATGGATTCTCTGGTGTTTTATAAGGTCTGAGCTCACACTAAATGCTTTGCCACACTCATTACATTCATAGGGTTTCTCTCCATTGTGGATTCTCTGATGTATAATCAGGTGTGCCCTTACACTGAAGGCTTTCTTACACTCATTACAAGTATAAGGCTTCTCACCAGTGTGGATTCTTTCATGCACAGTAAGGGTTGAGCGCACGCTAAAGGCTTTTCCACAGTGATCACACTCATAGGGTTTCTCTCCAGTGTGGATTCTCTGATGTCGAACAAGGCCTGAGCTCTGGGCAAACTTCTTTCCACATTCATTGCATTTATACCGTCTTTCTTCCATGCGCCTACCCTCATGCCTTTCTAACTGGTCCTCATACTGAGAGACTTTTTCATACTCAGGAGTCTGTAAAGTATCCCCATTATATATGCTAGGGACCTTCTGGTGTGGGTCCATCATTAGAAAAACCTTCCCTTCAGCCCTTCAGAGTTGACACCTTGTTCACACCTCTGGCCTTGAATCCTAAAATAATAAACAGACCTTTGAAATGTGCTTTATTCCTGTTGCTAAAGCAATATAATATGATACAGACTAGAGCTCTCAAACACGTTCAGTAATCCCAGGACACGCCAATCATATGGCACTCACATAAAATGTTTTCATTCAGCCTGTATCATGTCTCAGTAACATCAAAGAACTGCTGGAATGAATATCTGACTCAAATGGCTATTTAAATATATCTTCATGGCACACGCCTATCATCTCAGCTACTTGGGAGGCAAAGGCAGAAGGATCACTTGAGTCTGGGAGATTGAGGCTGCAGTGAGCTGTGATCACGCCACTACACTCCAACCTGGGCAACAGAGCAAGACCCTGTCTCAAAAAATATATATGAATAAATAAAATATCCTCTATAAAGGCATCTAAAACATACACATACAACCTGGAATATAAATAAATATAAAAATAATATATAGTTCCTACTTTTAAAGGCAAATCATATTTAATTAAATTGGAAAACAAGACAGAAACTCAAGAGATTTGCAGATAGAGCAGATGAAGGAGTATGGGAATAGAAATGGCAATAGAAACAAATTCAACTGATAAGAAGTTTGGAAAAATGAAAATAACACCATTAACAGGTATGTTTTACCACCCACAGGAGTCCATACTACTTGAGATGGAAGAGAGACATGGGGACCAAAAAAGCTCTGTTCATTGCTATGCCACTACCACTTCTGCAGCTGTTGTTGCTATGATAAACTGTATCTCAGCAACAGGGATGCTTTGTCTCTGCTGGAATTGTGACAGAATAAACCCTTTACCTCTCCAAAGAAAATGGATGGCTGCTACTTTCTTGGGAACAAACCCAGTTTTGTGTCCAAACTTGATAAAATTTTTGCTTCCAACTCAAATTACACTAATTACCCCTCTCTGCTTTTTTCCACCTTACAAATTGTTTTATGTCTCGACAGTTATAAGTTAACAGTATGCACCCTTGATGAGAATGGCACTTCAACTTTGGGGCCTTCCTCCCCAGAATGTATAACCTCAGTATAATAATGACAAAAACAGATAAATCCCAATTGAATGATATTCTACAAAACAAACAAACAACAACATTAACAACAAAAACCAACACAAAGCAGAACTGAGGATCCAGACCAACAGAAAATAAGGTCTCCATACCTGCACCCCACTCTCGCAAATTTAGCCCTGTCAGAAAAGCAAGTCGGAGTCACTCCTCTAGGAGTTTTAAGAGCCTCAGAGACAGCCAAGGACAGGACTCAAGACATCAGCCTGCCCCAGCCATCCATTCTCCCAGGGTTTCTGAGGGTCTACTCTGCCAGTGCAGAAGGGCCAGGCAGGAGATGGGGTAGTGAAGGGAAAGAAATATAAGAGGGAGGATGATGGAGAGGGAGGAAAAGGGAGGAAAGAGAAAAGAGGAGGAGTGTGAGAAAGTGGGTGGAAGAGGGGAGGGGTGGGGAAGGATGGAGGGAAAAGGCAGGCCTGAGGCGACCTGGCGCAGTACATAGTTTCTCCCATCCTCCGAGGGTGTCCACCCCAGGACATATGCAAAACCCTAGAACAAAGTCACGAGGGAACTCACCTGAAAAACTGCGATTAGACTATCTGACCAAGCGACTGAGGACAGCTGTTGGCCTAGAAAGCTTGACTTTCACTTCCACAGATCGCGCGCCTGGGCATCTGGTCATCTACTCTAGGATCCTGGAGGCTTCCCTCTCAGTGGTTTGTGAGCTGGCCAGAATGGACCGTGTGAAGAAAGGATCCCTTACTCCCAAGAAGGCATTTTATGCTTTTTATCTCATTTAATCCTACAGGGCAGACATTCAAGTCCTCCTCGCATATATATAAAAACTGAGAAGCAAATAAATTTTCCGAGGTCAGGCACCTGTTAAAACAGCCAAGATGAAATTTCAATCTAGGGCTTGCTTCCCAGATTAAGCCACTTTATGGCTCCTCAGGGGTTAGTACTCAGAGAGTAATCTCCAAATTAATTTGTAAATTCAACACTATTTCCATGAAAATATCAACTTTTTAGAAGATTTTAATGTTCATCTAGAAGACCAAACATGCAGGACTACCTGGGGAAACTGAGAAAGAAGGGCACTTGTCCTAAAGAACTTACATATTACAAAGCCTTAATACTTAAAGTGTGTAGTACTCATGAAAATGGTACAGAAGGCCCAGAAAGAGGCACATACATTTAGCATACAATAAAGGTAGCAAATAAGTTAAAAAAAAAAAGTGAACTCTTCAAATGCATGGTGAGAACTGGATAACCATGTGGAAAGATGGTAAATTAGATTTCTACCTTACTCTATAAACTAGGATATATGCCAAATAAACCAGTTTTAAATGTTATAAATGAAACCATAACAGTACTAGAGGAAAACATGAGGTGAGTCCTTTATAACCTCAGAATAGAAAGGCCTTCCTCCTGGCCGGGCACAGTTGCTCACATCTGTAATCCCAGAACTTTGGGAGGCCAAGGTGGGTGGATCACAAGGTCAGGAGTTCAAGACCAACCTGACCAACAGGGTGAAACCCTGTCTCAACTAAAAATACAAAAATTAGCCAGGCGTGGTGGTGCATGCCTGTAATCCCAGCTACTCAGGAGGCTGAGGCAGGGGAATTGCTTGAACCCGGGAAGCAGAGGTTGCAGTGAGCAGAGAACGTACCATTGCACTCCAGCCTGGGTGACAGAGCGAGACTCCATCTCAAAAAAGAAACGCCCCCCTTTATGAGACAATATCCAGAGGTCATTAATGAAAAGATTGATAAACTTGACCCACATAGAATAAAAACTCCTGTGAGGTAAAACAAACAAACAAAAGCACTTTAAGCAAAGTCAAAGACAAAAAAAAATGGAAATATAGTTACAATTTCTATTTCTGAAAACTGGCAGCCAAGATGAAGCTCCTGAATGATAAAAAACGTGGAAATGGCAGATCTGAGCTGTATTCTCTCCTGCTCCAGTCTCACTCTGAACTTAATCAGACTCTGCTAAGCATTCACAACTCACTTATCCTGATCCTATCCTATAGCAGTTGTTTTTAAGTCTCCTCAGGTCCCTTACTTCCAGAATCCCCAGAAGACCACAAAACGTCAAGTTTAGCACAACTCTCCTGTAGAGGGAAGAGTCTGTCATTGACACCTCAGTGGCATATTCCTGGATGGCACTAGAGAATATCTTATTCTCCCTCTGCTTCCAGAGCTGGCATTTCTTGCCTACTTCCTGATTGTATCCAAGAGCTGGGGCCAGAAAAAAAATAAACACATGAATTTATGAAAGAATCGCTGTAGAAATGAATAAATCAGCAGAACAAGCTAATCCCAGGGAGGTAAGGAGAGTAAGAAATAATTACAACAAATACCTGGATAGCACTTCCTATGTAGTAGGTACTGTTCATGTAATCCTCATAACAACTCTAGACAGGTGCTTTTATTATCCCCATTGACAGATGGCATATAGGCACAGAAAGATAAAATGACTTGGACAAAATCACAGTTAGTCTGGCTTCAGACTTACGTGCTTAAAAAGTAGGGGAAAAAAGGGAAGAATCCCTAAGGGACCAAAAGTTTTAAGGTAACTTGATAATATCTCTCCCCACCTGCTGTCTGGATTCACTCAATTCCTTGAAATCATCCAGCTTAGCCACTTCCCCAAGGAAAATCCTCCCTCCCTCCCCTGGTCAGTGCTGCTCCCTCTCCCAGACCTGGTGTTCCTCAGATAGGATGATCAGGAACTGGCCTCAGCCACTGTCAACTGGACTGCTGGAGCCAGCTTACAGAATGCTGGCCTGTGGAGTTTTCTCATTAACAGAATCCTTGGAACCAGCGAAACCAACTCCTCTAAAGATGCAGTCAAGCGGCTTTTCCTGTAATTGAAGAGTCTTCAAGAACACTTCTGTAAAAGAAACATTATTTTACTCAAAGAAAAAGCAAAGATTGCCATAGGTGTTACACTACTAAGGGTTACGGGGGGAAAGAAGTGCAATGCTAAATAAGGAGCTAATTTGCAAAGGGCTCTCAGATCACATGCTGGGGCAGCAGGTCTGCAGTGGTAATCTTTCCCATTGCCTTTGAGCACTGGTTGGGATAGTAGAAGGGCTCATGAGAGAACAGCATTAAGGGTGCTGTAAGGTGGTCCTGGTGTGGATGGAGATGACTGTTAAAGGGAAGGGTAGCCATTTACTGCCAAGCTGAAGTACAGAGAGAACGAATTCTGCATTCAAAATGAAATGTCACGGGGACAATTAAGTGGTGGAACAAGCCTCTCTTGAATTTAGAGCACCGAACACTTATTTCCAATTATTTGCAGTTTCCCCCTTTTGTTTGAAAAAGCTGAAGATCTGGTGGGCAGTGATACCAATTGGTACCAGAAGCACACTTGTAGTTGGTACTCCATGAAGTTCTGAAGACGGCAGTAAAGACCAGGGTTGTAACTGAAAGGGAAGTAGTCCCAACTCTGGGCCCCTGCGGCACTAAATCTCGAGGAAAAACCCTTTCCTGGAAGACTGCATTTGGATACAATCCCCACCGTCCCAGGAGGGGTTGCCTCTCCTGGGGTTCCTGCTCACATTCCACCCAGGCAGGCGCGGAGAGAGGAGGTCTGAGGGGTTGCAGCTGTGCAACACCCACCCAAGCGGCACCCAGATGCATACTAGCCTTTCTCTACCTGTGAGCAGCGCCAGCTCCGAGGCCTCGCCGCAGGGAGGAAGTCCCTCTCAAGACTTCCGGGGCGTGCCCCGGAAATCTCTGGGCGGGGCCTGGCTGCGCCCGAGTTTGCCAGAGAGGGGTTAAAACCTCAACCTGTCCAGGCTGTGGTACAGGCGGGGTCTAGACCAGGAGCCATTTGCATTGGACCGTCGGGAATGCTATGACTTCCTACCTCACCTCTCCCGAAGGTTGTTTTTGCTTCCTGAGTTTTATCCACGGCAGGACCACCCGTGTATGTTGGAATTTAGAGATAGTACAGCTGGTGAAATATCTCGTGTGGGCCCCACAGGATCCCTTAAACCGACAAACGGGGCCACAGAAATCTGGTCTTATTAGTGATCTGAAAGCCAACACACTATATCCTGTGTGCTTTCTCAAAGATTAGAGACAAGAACCAAGAGCAATCTTTTCAAAACATGACTGCGATACTGCAAAATTTCTCCGGCTATTCAATTATTTATGAAAGAATTTAAGTCAAAACACTGTAGTCAGTAAATATACTGGCTTGAATATAAAGCTGATAAAAGGAGTAATTTTTAAAACAAAACATTAGAGGTGGAGGCACAAAGTTTGAATCCATCTTCTGAATTAAGAATATACAAGGGTCACACCTGAGAGCATAACTAGGGGAGAATGGGCAAAGCCCCAGGAAACCTAACCAAGTGGCCTCTTTGAGCCTCCATTTACAGAATAATGAATTGGAACACTAAACTTAGCATTCTAGACTATGAATATTTAAATATGACAGAACAAGCAGTTATTTCTTTGGTGTATTACACATTTAAACTGATTTTCTAACTTGGGTTGAACTTTTGAGACCTCTGTCGTCCAGTGGTATAATCACAGCTCACTGCAAGGGCTCAAGGGATCCTCCCACCATATTCTTTTGAGCAGCTGGGACTACAGACGCATCCCACTACACCTGATTAATTTTTCTATTTTTTAAGGTTTTTTTTAGAGACAGTCTTGCTGTTGCTCAGGCTGCTCTTGAACTCCTGGCCTTAAGCAATCCTTCTGTCTTGGCCTACCAAAGTGCTGGGATTACAAGCAAGAGCCACTGAACCCAGGGGTTGAACCTTTCTAAACCTGCTGGATTAAGTACCACTGAACAGCAAAAGGAAGCCAGTGCTTCTAAAGGCCTACTTTTTAACGATTTAATTTAGGAAATCACATTTCCTCCTACATATTTGCCTTCCTAAATAGGATTAACACAGTATGTTAAAAACTATGTTAAAAACAAGTAAAGCTGGAATGGTTTTACTTGGCAAACTGACAATATTCTGGCTTGTGGTTTCCTTGGTGTGCTGGTAATTCCTGCCTAGTGGCTGTCCAAGGGACTGAGGGTCGTATGTTGACCTCAAGGATAAATCCTTGATGTTATAGCCCCTCTGCTAAAGAGACAGCCCCCAGCATTTTATCGTTGATGCTATAATGAATCAAGATGTGGAAGACTAAAACTAGTACTTCTGTAACACTTGTATGCTGAAACACTTGGCATAGAGATGATGGCAGATCTGATGCTGAAAGCAACCTTAAATCATCAATAACTTTATTGTTTCTCAATACCCTGACATATGTTGCTGTGAATGCCAAACACTAAGTCTTCTTTTTCTTTTGTAGTCTTAACCACCACAAAATACGCACACACTTAGGATTCTCTTAAAGCTTGGAATAGCTAATTTTTGTAATTGTATTGCCAGTACTTCATATCTCTTTCTCCTATTTACCTTAAATATATCAAGTCTCGCAACCTCAGCATTAAGGATTTTGGGCCAGATAATTCTTTGTTGTGGGGCGGGGGCAGGGGCAGGGGCAGGGGCGGGGCAATGTGGGGGGGTGGGGTTGTCCTGTGCAAACATGATGCTTAGCAGCATCCCCAGCCTCTACCTACTAGATGGCCAGTAACATCCCAGCTGCCCACCAATGGTATGACCAAAAATGTCCCCAAACATTGCCAAATTTCTCCCAAAGAGAATCACTAATCTCATATACCAAAGCCTATTCTCAAGCACTTTTGGAATTATAACCTTAACACAATAGTCTTAGTGCTTCTTATTTTCTTTCTTGACCAATAAGGCTGGCCAAATGGAAAGCTTCAGCTTTTTACACATAATTTCCTAAAGTTGAATTTTTTTGGCCTTACTCTTAGGTAGAGGCAGATCCTGACATACTATACTAGCATACGAAAATAGGTCTGTACATTTTTGAGCACCCAAAGTGGTAAGACACATTCTTGAAAACAGCTTAAAAATTTCTGTAGATAACACCACAAATAATCCACACAATACTTCAACAAGCATTTATTAAACGCCTACTATGTGCTCAGCACTATACTAGGCACTCGGGGGTGCAGAGATACAAATGTAAAAGTTATTATTCCTGCCCTCAAGGAGCTTACAATTTAATTTTGGAAATAAATACAAATATGAAACTATAACACAGAGTGCTAGAAAATAATTACAAAGCAACGTATTAGTAAGTACATGGACCACAGTATAAACTCAAAAGATAAGTGCTGAGGCAGCACAGAATGAGGGAGGTCACCGCATAAGGTGATGTCAATCAGAGAGAGCTAACTCAGAAGATATAAAGATAAGCTTTGAAGGGAGTGAACATGAGCTGGGACCAAAGAGCAATCTAAGCAAAAAGAATAGCATGAGAAAGGCACAGAGGCAAGAGCTTGTAAGACATCAGTAGAAGGCTGTAGGAAGTTTGAATCTGTTGAATCAAGGTGAATATGCTAGAGAGTAATGAAGGCTGATGAATATTAAGCATAGAGGTAATGGAGAATTTGGAACACCACTGCTCCATAGGAATTATCTACTGGGTGTTACTTAGTGAAAATGAAATTTTACAATAGAGATATTGTAAAAAACAGGTGTTTGAGGAGGATTGCCTTGGAAAAATTATCTACTGGGTGTTACTTAGTGAAAATGAAAATTTTACAATACAGATATTGTAAAAATGGAGTTTGAAGAGGACCACCTTGGAAACTTTATACAAGATGGGGATCCTGGGAGCAAGGAAATTGGAAAAAAAAGAATTACAGTAACCTGGGCCTCAGATCTACATGAAAGGCTATAATGGGATGTGAGAAATGGGCGATCAAGCCTCAAGGAGAAAACTGATTAAAAACTAGACTGAAAGCAAGTTTTTGGACATGGAGAATGGAGAGCAGAAAAAGATAACTCCAAGGCTGGGGTAAAAATATGAAAGGTGGTGACACTTTTCAGGGCAAAGGAATTAGGCAATGAGGCCTGTTTAAAAAGAAAACGGGGGTTGGCGATATATGGTGATGAATCCTGTTTTCAAATATCAAGTTGTACAGGTACCTGTGGAAAATTCCAAAAGTCACAAACTGACCCACAGGGTGGGAAAAATGAAGTCATTCGAATACAAATGGTAGGTATAAACAATCAAAATGGATAAACAGGAGTATAGAAAATAAAGTGAATAAAAGATAGGGAGATTATTCTCAGTGGAGAAGAGAAGGGGGAGTGGGTGGAAAGATCAGTCAAAAAAAGAAAGCCAGATATTAGAGAAAAAGGTTCCCACAAGCCAAAGGAGGGAGAATTCAACAATATAAAATATAAATTAGATCAAAAAGGGCATTAAAAAAAAAAAAAAAGGCCTTACTATTTGTCCACTGGTGAGTCTACGAACATTTCACTGGAATGCTAAGTACGAAAGCCAGCAAGAAGAAGTTTTAAGAACAGATTAAAGAAAAAGGGGGGGTTGAAAAGCGGAAGACATGTTTGAAAAACCATGAACAACAGAGGAGAAATAGAATGGTAGTTAGAAATGGGCAATGAGGTTGAAAGCATTTCACATTTTATGCTGCAGATGAACTTACTATTGTTATCTTAACTGACCATCTGCCTGGCCTGGTACATGGATATTTCATTTTCCTCCACAATTCTACTTTCCCTCTGGCAGTTTAGAGAAAAATTATATTTGAATTTATTATTGCTTTATCCTCCCAGTTACTCTGTTAAATATGTTTTGTTTGCACAATTTAGTTTTATGGTACTACAAAGCATCAGTACTTAAAAATGATATAACTATAACCTCAAAGGGCATTTTCAACCAATTTACCAGTAATTGTAATGTATTTGCACTCTACTGTATATTCTCTTCCCCAGTACCTCTCATGACAAGGGCTACATATTTTTAAACAGCTGACTAGATTACCATGTACATTATACACAGCATAGCACAGTAGTCAGAAGCACAGGCTCTAGTCTAGAATCAAACTGTGTCGGTCAGAATCAGTTTTATCACATATTGGCAGTGTGATATTGGTCAACATATTCAACTCTCTAAGCCTCCGTTTCCTCATCTATAAAATGGGGGATAAAATAATACCTACTGATATGGTTTGGCTGTGTCCCCATCCAAATCTCATCTTGAATTGTAGCTCCCACAATTCCCACATGTTGTGGGTGGGACCAAGTGGGACATAATTGAATAATGGGGGCAGAACTTTCCTGTGCTGTTCTTGTGATAGTAAGTCTCATGAGATCACACTGTTTTATAATGAGGAGTTCCCCTGCACAAGTTCTCTCTTTGCCTGCTACCATCCATGTATAAGACATGATTTGCTCCTCCTTGCCTTCCACCATGAGTGTGAGGCATCCCCAGCCATGCAACTGTGAGTCCATTAAACCTCTTTCTTTTATAAATTACCCAGTCTCAGGTATGTCTCTTTATTAGCAGCATGAGAACAGACTAATACACTTATTATGAGCCTGAGAAAGGCATAACAGGGTTGGGCACACAGTAAGTGCTCAATAAATGTCGGCTATTATTATCTAGAGACTCAGAACCAACAGTAAAGTTAACTGCTCTGTTTGGGAATCAACCACCATATTCTAGCACTGCACCTTGCTCCAAGGAGAAAATCTTTGAAACCTAACATGCCTCTCCCAGGGCTATGTTGGATGGCATTAGAGTTATGAAAGAACCACCTTATCATGTCAGTTCCTAAAATGAGAAGCTTAGGATGGGAGGAAAAAGTACTGATGAATAGTTCATTTCAGATAACACAAAGATAGAATCTATAGGATAAAGGAGCTTAATGAATGCCATTCACAGTTAAGAGCTCAAAATAACACACAGCCTGGTCAATAATATTCTATGCTAACAGTGTGAACTTGAGACAAAGAATGATTTATAATGATGTCCTCAAAGAATCCACAGCCTTTTTCTATTGTCTTATACCGTTTGGCTAATTCTATATATGTGCTGTATCAGCTTTGATAATTCTTTCAAGACACAGTCTTTTCTCACACCAAATATAACACTAATTTTTCTAGTCATTATTTTCTCCGAATTTATGCCAGATGCTTAGTGATTCTGAGATTTAAGTAACCTGGCTACACATTACTCTGAATACTGACACATAAAGAGACTTTAGCTAGTACATATGTACACATTTCAATATGTTGCTCTGGTCTATGGCCATACCACCCTGAATGCACCCAATCTTGTTACTATGTTGCTTTGCTAAAAGGGCTTTTTATTGGAATAGAAGAGAAGCGTTCTTCTAAAGTGTACAGCAGGTGTGTGTGTGTATACATACACATGTGTACACACACATGTATTTTCCCTCTGACAATGCACCTATCATATGTAATACCTGCATACAAGGTAGTACTGGCCCCAGGAAGAATTAGTATCTTACAGAGGGTAAGGCACAACTGAAACAGAGAGCGAAGATCTAGATACAACCAGATTTACTTGTTTCTAGTTTCTTAAAATTTCAAATACAAAGAAATTAGGAATGGTAACTTATAAATCAAAAAAAGAAACAAGAGAAGGGAGAATAAAATAAAGGATAATGAAAAGGACTGTTGGAAACCAATTTGACAAGTGATGGGTGCCTTCATTCACCAATAGCTCAATGAAATTGATGTAGATAATTCTGATGTTGTTAGTA